GCTGAACTTGCTGCCACCCTATCTAGCACACATTTTTTTTTTTAATGAAAGAAGTTTAACATTAAAAAAATAGAAAATAAAAACTTGGCCAGATTATATTGACAAAGCTGCCCATTACCTTTGCAGAAAGTCCCTGTCAGAAGATAAACTTTAAAGCTGGAATGCATGAAAGAGTTCCAAGATAGAATTTAAATTTAAACTGATTCTTTATAGATAAGCTTTTTAAAAATCCACCTCTTTGCTTCAAGTCAGGATTTTAAAAATAAATTTCCCCTTTAAATCTCTTGAGCGATTTTCATTTTTTGCAAGGCCGCACTGCTGGTGTCCTGGAAAAATGGAGAGTTAGAGCTTTATCAGTTGGTGCCCTGAGGTATGTGGCAAAGAAGCTAAATCCTTGAAGATTAGCAAAAAAAATGCAGCACATGGCAATAAGGGGCTTATATGACTACTAGTATTAGTTCAGGTGAAAGCAGTATTGCTTATACATAAAACTGGACAAATCCATTGACAATGTATTTTTAGTTAGCTACAAAGAGTCTTCTATTACTGGACTTTGCTCTTTGGTGGATTGGGAAGCTTAGTAATCCACTGTAAATGCTCTGCGTGCCCCAATTCTCAGCTCACTCTCAAGTGCAGTGCTTTTATTTTAACCCTTAGAAGCTCATGTTGTCCCCAGAGGTTGGCTTCATGCCATTAAAAGATGGCCTTAGTCATATGGGTTAAGTAATTCAAATAATTGTCAGTTTATTGACTTCTGGGAAAGACACATGAGAAATCGCTTTGTGAATGCAGGACATGTCTTTGTTTTTATTTTAGTAGGCGTTTGGATAAAGTTAATGTAAATGGAAGTCTGGTAAGAAATTTTAGTTTAGAGATGGTGTTTTCTGTATCTGTATTATTAGCATCCTCATTAATCTTATTTTATACTTGCTTGAATATTATCTTTAGGTTAAATCCTATTTAGCTTCTTTAAGAATGAAACTAAGGTTTTAAGTGTTTGTAGGGAAGATTACAGTCCTGGTTTGCCTAGGACAGTCCCAGTTTACACACTTTTGTGGTGTAAATAGCTCCCACTTTCACTCTCAAAGGTGTCTCTGGATAATATGGTCACCCTAATTTTACCCTAAGGTAAAATTTGGAGCTGAGGTAACGGGTTCTGAAGCATTCATTAATTCCACAAGTTTACGAAATATCTTTTGTCTTCAGGGCACATCCACATACCATTTTTAATTGGACTTACAAAATGTATCTCAATTTTTGTTTGCTTATTTTTTTACATATCGTATCATTTAACTTTTTAAAGTAGTAGGACATAAATAAACCATGTCTTGATTCTTTTATCCTGACGAGGTACTCAAGAGGACATCAAAACCCCAGCCAGTTTAGTTGAATGGAGGTGAGGCCAAAGTCAATCACTATTTCCATATGAACTAGTGAGCCTTACATAGAGAAAAAGTATTTTACAACCAATGCTAGGGGCACGTGAGTCCTCAGCCAGTTAAGAATCCGACTCTTGATTTTGGCTCAGGTCATGATCTCAGGGTCGTGAGATTGAGCCTCATGTCGGGCTCTGCGCTGGGCATGGAGCCTACGTAAGACTCTCTCTCTCCTTCTCCCTCTGCCCCTCACCTCGGCTGCCCCCCTCTCTCGGCCTCTCTAAAAAACAACAACCAACCCTAGCCATCTCACAAATATATGTCATTTATCATAAAAGACATTTACACAGAAAGTGAATAAACAGCTCCACGTAAGACCCCAGCATTACCAGAACAAAGGACTCAGCAGCATGGTAGAGGTGAGGGTGAATTTAGTGTCAGGAGACCTACAGGTAGATCATTTACTTACTTAACTTTTTCACTCTGGGCAAACCACTTAATCTTTCTGGTCCCCAATACTTGGGGATGATAATACCTTCCACACCCAACTTAGCACAGAGTTCAAAGAGCAAATTGGATCATGTATATGGAACACACTTTGTGCTATGCAAGTGTGAGTTATAATTATTGTGTAGTGTGGTAATAGAAATGAAGCAAATGACGAGAAGCATAATAATAGTAAAGATATTTTTCAAGGTAAAGCAGCTTTATTTTTAAATAAAGCTTAAAAAAAGGTTAAGTGCTTTAATAATAGTATTGCAGGCTGAAGGAATGTGGAATATTACTCATCATTTATGACCATATGGCCCTAAAGTTTTTTAGAATTAAAAAAATATAGGAACTTTATGTAATTTTCCATTCTCTGAAACAAAACAACTGAATCCAATCCTAGTTTTGCTGTTTGTGTGACCTTAGAACAGAAAAAGGAAAAGGAAAAATGATTGCTTCATATATGATCAGTTTCCCTGTTAAACAGAAACCCTAATGCCTACCCCACATGTTTGTTAAAAAACCTATATGAGAACATCTGAAAAATATCCAACCACAGTGCCTGGCATGTAGTAAGTTGTTTAAAATGTTTGTTTGTTTTGGATATATTTGTCTGTTCTCCCACAGATAATACAGAAAGGTGAGAAAAATAGAGAAATCTTAATAGTTTACAAAATAGACCAAACCATTGGTTTTCAGATTTGGTTAGATCTGGAACTCTCTGTTAAAAAAGGAGTGGGGGGAAGTGGATGCAAACCCTAGCTAGTTGTCCATGGGTCTTGCTCTGACCACACCCCAGTGGCCCCTGGTCCCCTAGGGCCTTAAGGAGAACCACTGGACATGCTGTCCAAAGAACTGGGCAAATGGAGGAGACATGTGCCAAAAGTGAGAACATTTGGAGGAGCAGGTTTTTGTGGGGAAGTTGATAAGTTAAAGTTTAGATGTGGTGAGATGAAACACAGGAAATTGTGTTCAAAATGTTTAGTAGGCAATATTCTATTTTGGTCTTAGCTTTAATCAGTGCTAGTCTAGAGACGGAGATTTTGAAGACATGACATATTGTAAAAACCTTCTATTCAAACCATGAACATGGATGAGCTCACTGAAGAAAGTGTCAAGGGACAAGGGGAGGGGGCCAAATAAGATCAGGCAAAGGCAGAGGACCTAGTAGAGGAGAAGGAAGGAGTATGATAAGATCCCCAGTGGAAAATATACCAAGATGTCAGGAAACGGTTGGTGTCTGAGGAGAGTGGTTTCAGTGACCTGCTTGGGGGAGAAAGTAGATTGGAGTGGGTTGAGGAATGAGTAAGTGAAGAAGGAGACAAAGATGTGAGACTGAAAAATATAAGAGGTTGTCAGGGAGAGGCTGAAGGGCAGGCAGGTTTTTTAAGATAGTTGAGCACATTTAAAAGCTAGCGGAAAATTGTGGAACTGCGAAGTTGAAGATGCCTATGGGAGAAGGAAGTTTCCTCAAGATACCAGAGGAGACGGACTCTAGTATAGTTGTTGATGCAGAGAAGTCTGTAGGTCTGTAGGGGCTGAAGAAGCTCTCCTGCCTGGTGGCCTCAGTGTTTTTTTCCCGTGGAGCCTGAGGGGCAAAAGAGGAAAGGAAATCACGGGAGACAGGTCTGGAAAGAGGTAAGGGTTTGAAATCCTCACTTCAGATACCTTCTTTCACTGCACTTAGGATATGTCAGCCCCCGTGATAGGCCCTGCGAAGCAGCAATAAGCAAAACCGATATGGTCTCTGCCCTCACTTCGCTGAGCTGTAATCCAAATAAACAGCATTGAAGGCATAGGCGGAACTCGAGGTTCTGATGGTAGACTTTTACGTGGTCTTGAAAATTTCCTTTGGAATTACACGGTGCCCTTGAGGATGATTTCAGATTGGTCCTGGACAGATGGCGAAATAACCAAGAGGCAGGGAGTTGAGGGTGCTTGAATTGTTAACTCTGTAAGTATTCGAGTGCCTCCTGCGTGCGGGCACTGTTCAAGAGAATGGTCGAAACCACAGGTCTTGATGTGACGATGGATTTAAAAAAAAAAAAAAAAACCCAGGGAGATAGTTAAAAACATATGAAAAAATAGTAAATTTGATTGATGTGCAATACAGTAATTAGATTGAGGATTATGTTATAGATTCATTCCCCTTTAGAACTACCACACTGTCCTGTTAGGATTTAATTCTTGGGCTTGAAATGTGTAAGTCAGTGGTTTGCAACTAGTTAGCACAGGGACTAGCAGGGTACTGTTGGCAGGTGGCAGGACCCCAAGACAAGGGATGTTGAACAGCTCGCAGTGCCTCCACCTTTCCGTTCAACGAAGAACTGTCCCACCAAAAATCCCAAACACCTGTGGAAAAACTCTGATATAGATGATAATGTGAGCTACAGAGCTTTTGTTCAGTTTGTTCATTCAAAACATCATATCATAGGATCTTCACACCAACACATGTGAAGAACCCCTTTAAAATCACCCTTGATTTGTGTGTTCCCTTTCTGACTGTTGGCTCAAATATTTGTGAAGATCTTCAGCCTATTCAGCAGCTATCGCCTTCACTACAAATCCTTCTAAAAACCCCTGTTTTTTCTTTTACAGTATTTCAGATCTGTTGACCACTAGCCAAAAAAACAGCAGTTTAATGCTGCAATTATACTTGGTATTACCGTTTTCTTGTATGGTAATGCAAACTTAGGATGAGTTTCATGTTTTTCAAGTTCCATAAAGAGATACATTTTATCTTATAGATGCAGATATCACTGCATTTTTTTTCTATTTACTTGAAGTCTGGCAATTATTTAACTGTTCCCCAAATGTTCACCAGACTAGATGAGTTTTTGTGTAAAAATGCTAACAATAAAATCCAAGAAATTAACCAGAACTAAGAAAATGCAGAAATATTTCCCATCACTTACATGAAATAATTCAAGTTTGTAGAATTTCTCATGAAGCCAGAGAGCCTGCAATTTTTGAGAAACAGAATCAAAATAACCCTGATTGTCCTTGCAACTCACATTTTAGCCACATTTGAGGCTTAAACTGGCTTATCAGGCTCGTGGAGATGAGGAAGTAGGAGAAGAGGTAGGAGGAATTTTGTTGAAAATGCATTTAACTCTAATGTAATAACTTCAACAGATCAAAGTGGAGCCAGTTGTCCCAGCCCCAAGTCCGGTTATTCCCCGATTGACTCTCAGAGTTGGTGCTGGCCAAGACAAGATGTAAGTAGAAACGTTTTCAATTAGAGTGAAATAAACTGAACTTAACCTTCTCTGCTCTTTCCTAATGGGTTTAGAACTCTAACCTCTTCCAGGTACAAACACGGAGGGTCAAGCTTTACTTTGGGAATTCTTCATTTTCAAATTGTATCGGTTTCTTCCTCAGAGGAAATGCTTATTGCTTTATTTGACATACAGGATCCCTTCTTTCTTGTTGTCTGTTTTTTAAAGACATGACACTGTGTCTGCGTAATTCTTAAGGTCCTGGTTATCTGAAAAGGAAGAAACTATATATTGAGTGAACTAACTGCCATATTCCGCCCAGGTGGGTGCAGTGTTATACCTTCTCAAGTATGTCTTCTCTACCCACCATGACAAAGAACGGAGATTCTCATGGTTTTATTCTGAAATAAATATACCTGTATATTCCGAAATAAGTATGCCTATAAATGAATTTATACCTGAAAACAAAGATACTGCCCAAGGCTTGGTGAAACAGTATATAATAGTAACAACTGAAGTCTTAATTAGCAGCTCGTTTGCTTGTTTGCTGAAGAGAAGACTAGAAATGTGAACCCCGTGTTCACTGTCCGTCTTAATTTTCACAGAATCACAGCCCACCCTTCTTTTAAAGTAAATTAGTCGGCTTTGTTTCTTTTATTCATTTTTGGGATATGAATTAAATACTCTTACATGATTTTAATAAGGTGGTAAAACATTTATTTTTGTAAATTATGTTAAAATCATTCTTATTGTTGTAAAAATCACACTGTTTATCATTTAAATGAATTCCACAAGCTAGAAGTACTAGTTTACACCTTATTTTTCACCAGTAAGCCTGAAAATGGATTCGTTTACATTGCAAACAATCAAAGATTATGTAGAAAATGGGCTTCTAGGGCATTGAATTTTCATTCAGTTTTTAGCCATAATAATGAAAGTAGGAGCCATGCACTTACATAGTGGGTAGAGTAGACAACAGAAAATATGCTTTGTGTTCTCAGTGGTTCATTCCATCTTAAAAGTTTGTATTTTATGCTGTTGCTTGTGTGAATTCCAAACATAATGCAATGAAAAGGCCCAATACCGTTATGAGGAATGATGTTGTACAGGCAAACATGGTCTTCCAGGAAAATGTATGTGCTTCTGAAGAGTGAAAGAAGAAGAAAATCCAGATAGTTCATCCTTTTCTCACCTAAATTACCCACATAATTTCCACATTGCTCTTTTTGGTTATATCAATAGAAACCTAGACAGTGGGTGGTAGTGTTACTGACAAGCTTAGACAGTGTTAACAAAAATACTGTAGATTCAGCTCTTCTTTAACCAGATGCTGGTTTACCCCATGCCCTCTATTTTACCTACAAAAATGTGAATAATGTCCTCCTCTGTCAACCAGTAGAAGGCTGATTACCAGGGAGACCCAGCCAGAGTAACTTGATTATTATCTTTTTGGAAATTCTGTACTTGGGCTCATTCCTCTCACGGGAAGATATTCTTATATATCATTCAACAAATACTTTTCTCTTATTAGTTCACATTTATGACTATTTTCTCAGTAACTCATCATTACTTAATCTTTACTTCCACAAAAGAGTTTGGTTTGCTTGAGGCGCTTGGGTGGCTCAGTCGTTAAGTGTCTGCCTTCGGCTGAGGTCATAATCCCAGGGTACTGGGATCAAGCCCCGCATCGGGCTCCCTGCTCAGCCAGGAGCCTGCTTCTCCCTCTCCTGCTCCCCCTGCTTGTGTTCCCTCTCTAGCTGTCTCTCTCTGTGTGTCAAATAAATAAATAAAATCTAAAAAAAAAAATTTGGCTTGCTCATTCCCTTTAGAGAAATAAGGTCCGTGAAAAGACTTTGATGATAATATTCCTCTCATCCACCCTTAAGCATCTTTCATTCATTCTCTTGACTATTTTTCTCCTCTCAACAAATCACCTAAGATCCTGGGAAACGTGAGAAATAGATCCTGTTATCCTGGAACAGACTATCCAGTATTAGGGAAACTATAATACTCAGACACTGTAGACAAATTGCCTGTGAGAGTATAACGTTATATAATATGTGAACTTCCAAACATTTAGGTAAATAACCCCCATGTTATATGAATCATTAATCACTTGGCCAAAGTCAGACACAAGGGAATACTTATAATAAACAAAGGAATAAATTAAGTGAAATAGATTACATTTTAAATTAAAATAAGAGAAAAAACAGGCCCAAGTCACATAGTAATAGGATTTTATGTAAAATATATCTTAATCAGTAAAGAGCTTTTTTAAAAAAAATCTAAAAGATCAGCACACTATGGCCCCTGAGCCAAAATCTATCCCACTGCCGGTTTTTGGATGGCTCTCAAGCCAACAATGGTTGAAAAAAATTCAAAGAAGAGTATTTTATGATGACACATGTAAATTATATGAAATTAAAAGTGATCTCTTATTGTTGTAGCATAAGGATACATGGCTTATTCCATGGCAGTAATAATGGAAAAGAGGCGGAAGATTCATATAAATGTGCCTTTACTTAGTTTGTACACACTTGGGGCTACAGTACTCTTTTGAAGTGAAATTAATGAGCAGAGATTCAGAAAGGGGGGTCTGAATAGTCCGGGCGAAGGGTTTGTTTATTGCTGAAGAACAGGCAGAGGATAGTCTTTGGAAATTATGGGAAAAAGGAAAAAGCTTTACAGGGTTCAAATTATACCCTCTCATTGGAAGATCTTTAAGACAATATTTAGTTTCTAAATTTTCCTAAATAAAGAAGGTCTTCTGCCCTTGATCCGGGAAAGTACTTTGAGGTTAGACTATTTCCTCTGTTCTCTGATGTTGTTCCTCATAGCAAGACAGAGACACCTTGTTTTTGCCTTCATTTAACATGCCTGGAATCTGTATTCTAAAGGGTCTGTGGGGAGTCCAGTGCCTCCAGCAGATAAGCGTTAGAATTCAAGATGACTTTGCAAGGACCTCAGATTCCTTTGACATGTCCCCCAGGAATGGGTCTCCAGAGTTGCCCTTAGTCAGTAATGAAGATGAAACCAGAATAGTAACCCTGAAATTGTAATCCCCGCCCGTATAAAGTTCGTGAGCAGTACGAGTGGGAAGCACATTTAAGTAAACTGCAAATACCTGGCCTAACTGTCAAGTAGGTCTCAGCTTGCCCAGGAACAGCTTTGCACCTGTGTTGATGAGGATCATGATGTTGCCCTTGTACTTGGGGACAAAGAGCAGGGTGAGTAGAGTGTATGTAGATGAGCAAGGGGCAGCACAGTGTGGCCATCTTACTTGTCATCCCGGTCTTTACCGTGGACTGAGTTAGTTTATGTTGAGCAAATTAGGACGAGTGAGCTAACTTATGGCATTCATTTATCCCTTCATTTCTATGAAGAAAATAGAGCTGGGACTGTTAAGACCAGCAGGAAGGACAGGGCAGAACAGGGCCTGCAGCTCTTCTAAGTTTAAATGTGTGTGGCTCCATGTTTAAAGTTCAAAATTCTGTTAAAGGAGCTTCCATTAAAAGGAAAGATAATTTTAAATATTGGTAAAGTCTTAATAAATCAATAAATGTTGGTAATGTATTAAGAAAAAAATTAAATGTATATAAAGATTGGGGTGGATAATAGCAGCAGGTATGGGATTAGGCAAACACCCCCCGCCCCCTTGCATTTCTCAGATGCCTCTTCCTTGCTGCCCTCTGCCAGTGCTGGGGAGGAAGTCTCTGTCTTTTTTGCCCTTCTCCTTGAGTGGAGCTCTTCCCTGGTGAATCCCCCACCCGTCTGTCAGCTCTATTATTCCGGGTGGTCGATGGGGGTTACTGTGTTGGAGAAATTGTACACTGGTCCCTTTGCCCTCAGGACACTGGTGCCCTTATGCAGTGAGCTCACCAGAGAAGGGATAATTACTTGAGCTCCACCCCTCAGACATCCAGTAACGGTTGGTCATTTTTTCCAATTACTCTCTGATAGTATATTTGATCAAGTGACACGGAATCATTTATGATGCCTTTCAGAGAACAATATTATTATCAATGATAATTCTAAATTTTCTTTTGACAGATTACAGTAGCTTGTCTTTTTATAGATGTAACCCCTTTCCCAAAATATGCAAATTATACTGAGATATTTTTCAGTGACCAGTTTACTGCTGGCAATTACAGTTTTCTTTTTACCAGCGTTTTGGTTTCCACTGTCAACACAGCCCTGAGTGTTTTCAGATTCCTTATGATTCAGGAAACTCTTTCATTGATCAGACCTCTCTTAGCAAAGGTGCTGAAAATTGGATGCTTTCCTTTTTGTGTAAGTAATTGTTTTTTGTTGCAGTTTACGGAACTTAGTTATTTCTGAGAAGGGGCTTTTTAATAGTTGGAATTTCTAAATCATATGTACTATGAAAATGGGAGCTAAAAGTTTGCTCATTAATCTTTAAAAACATAAAGGGTTTAATCTTTAAAAAGAAGATATTTATAGATATTTGTTGTCTTTTTATGATCCAAACTTTCCTCAGTAATGCTTTTTGACAGTACAGCTAGAAAGAAGTAGAGAATAATCATGAGCAATTACAGGAATAATCATTTAAAATATCTTTAAAGAAAATAAGCATTTTACATTTTAAAATGTAGCCAGGTTTAGCCGAAAGACATTTAACAGGGTGAAATGTGTGTTGTGGTTTTTATTGATAAGTTCTTTAGAGAAATAATAGCAACTGATTTTTATCCTACTTTCTGCATTTTCCCTCTTTATGTGAAACGTTGTTTATTCATATATAATTTTTTTCCAGTCTAAACAAATTTATGGCAGCTTAGAGAGAGTACAATAAAGTTATTAGAAAAAAGGAATAGGAAACTAACACCAACAAGAGGAAAAAGAAACAAATGATCGCACATCAGGTAGGATTATGGCTTCCTAGCAAGGAGGGCAAACAGTGAAATACAGTTTTGAAAGGGAAGGTACCTCTGAGTTTCTCAGGAGAGAACAAGTTTTTCAAGGCACCAAATTTAAAACTTTATTTCCATAGGGAACCAGCTGACAAACCC